CCGTACGTTACACTGGACTGCGGCTTCGGGAATGCGAGGGTTCGCAATTTACAGAAAGGATTGTGGCATGGGAGCGCGCACCGATCGTCCTTAACGATGGCTTGCGGTCTCCGAAGCGCGAACCAGTTGTAAGTTACACGGGATAGTTGCCTCCGGAGCGCGAGTGCGTCGTAATTTAGGAGGGGTTATGGACTCGGGAGCGCGACCGCGTCGTAATTCAAGAGGGATTGTGCCGTCGGGAGCGCGAACATGTAGTTGCGTTACGTGTCCCAGCGCCCCCGGAAATTCGGGCAGCGTGCTTCTGGCGTGATACTGGTGCGGTTCGCAGGCCCGGGGCCCCCGCTCCAATTCCGGAACCAGAGGGCCAGTCGTCCTAACGTTGGACACTCTCACATTTTTAACCGTTGCAAGGAACAGAGTGAGCCCGCGCCTCGCAGCCTGTTGGCCCCCAAGGGGGGCCAGCGGATTTGTGGATCGCTTCTGGGGACCCGGAGAGGCCCACTAGCCCCCCAATCGGATCTTTTTGGGGGCACTTAGTGTTAAGTCGGGCCTATCCCTCTACAGGAGGAGTATGCACAAATAGTTAAAAGACGTTGTCTTTTTATGTTCGAGCATTCTTTGACTATTCCTTATTTTTCTAACAAAATCCCCCTGTAGGAGGACACGCCCGACCTAAACCTAGTTGCATGCCTCTGCCTGTCTGTCACCACGTCTCATCCGTAGAAGGCCGTCGCCTCTGCAGCCGCCTCTTTTCGTAGGCTCGTGGCTCGACGGCTGTGGGGTCCGGGACGTCCATGGGTCCAGGGCCGCCGCATTGTGGACGTGACATCTCGAGCATCGTGGCCTTCCTGTGGGGCTGCTGCTTGAAGCCATCGTTCAGCGGAGGATTGGCCTGGCGAAGGGCCCAACCGTCCAAGTGCGTGTGGCACAGCGGATGGCCCTGTGCCTCACGCGCTGTGCGCCGCGGGCGGGATGGAGTTCGAGCCCCGCGGAGCAGCCGCGCCGGCGCGCGCTGCGATCCGCGCGAGGGGCGTGCCGAAACGGGCTGGGGGCCGACATGCAGATTTGTCCGCTGGACTGCAGGTGTAGCTGCTTGTGGAGCACGGTCCGCGTGAGGTCAGGTCCGTTATGCGTGGGAGTCATTTCAAGCATGAGTTGTTGTCTTCCCCGGCTATTGGCGTTTCCTACTTCTTCTGGGTGGTCACCAATCGGCGCGGGTAGGCGTCAACAGTCATGCCCATGAGGCTCCAGACCCTGGAGGATTCCTTACTTGGTAAGGGCGGCGGTGAGCCCTGGAGGAGGCTCCAGGCCCAGGAGGCTGCAGACCCTGGAGGATTCCTTACCTGGTAATGGTCAAGCCCCAATTGGTGTTCCACCAGCTTCCAGACCCTGGATTCCTCATCCACTGCTTCCTTATTCGATGCCCCCACCGTAATGCACATAAGCGTGAGGGGTGTGCCGGTGGCGAGCGGGGGCATGCGGACTTGCCCACTGGGGCCGCTCGCTCTCGTGTGATCCGGACTGGCGCGTGGGCCCCGAGCAGTGAACAGAAAGAGGGCCGACAGGGCAGCCAAGGCAGGGACCCTGTGGGCAAGGCGTGTTCGATGCCACGATGTCACCGCGCTGGCCAATTGTCCCATACGTCGAAGAAGAAAAATGCACATACACAAACTTTTGGCGCTCCGCGCGGATTTCTCGGATCCGCGCTGGGAGCCCCCTGGCGGCGCCTCCAGCGCCGCCCTTGGCGCGCTCCGCGCGCCACGGAGGGGGCACAGCGTGGATCCAAGAAATCCGCGCGGAGCGCCAAAAGTTTATGTTTATGTTTTTGTTTATTTTTCTAATACGTTCGTTTCGTCCGCTCAGCCTGCTGACCAGAAGGCGAGTCGATTATTGTCCCTTCGCTGCGCGCAGGATGACTGCAGCTTGTCAGCCTCTCGGTTTCTCGGCCGTCTCCCTCTCGTCACAGTTCTTCCCTAGGCCTCCTGGACTCTTGGCCTTCTGTCCCCCCCTCCCGCCATCGACCCCATCCATCCTTTCCCTATCTCTCCCTCTCTCTTTCTCCTGTTTCTCTGTCTTCGTCCCGCTCCTTCTTCCGCCTGCTTCCTCCCTGTCTCTGGTGGCCATCATACTTACCTGAGCATCTCTGCGTCCAAGTTTCTTATAAAACCGCGTAAACATGGACTGTCGAAGCTCTGTGCGGATTTTGTTGGATCGGTCCTGGGCCCCCCTGGCGGCGCCTCCAGCGCCGCCCCTGGCGCGCTCCGCGCGCCAGAGAGTGGGGCCCAGCGCCGATCCAAGAAATCCGCGCGGAGCTCCGAAAGTGTATGCTTGTGCCGTTTTTTGTTGCTGAAGAGGCTTACGCAATTCCGCCGACCCCCAGAAGAGAGATGAAGTCGAAAGGTGAGGCCTTTTGGGACCTCTTAGGGTCCCTCTGGGGCCTCTTTGGAGCCTCTTGGGGACCTCTTCGGGCCTCTTGGGAGTAGCTTGGGCGGCTGCTGGCGGTCTCGGGGGTCCTCTTGGGGCCAAGGGCTCGGAATGTCAGTTTGAGTTGCCTTTCTTTGGCCCCTTTTGGGGCCCCGTTGGGGCCCTCTTGGGGGCTTCTTGGGTCGTCTTGGAGCGATCAGGAGGGCCTCTCGAGCCGTCTTCAACGCCATACATGCGAACATGTTCAAAGAATACGCTTTCCCGAGGGATTTGCACGATGCTTGTTTCTTGGGACCCTCTCGGGGTTCGTCTTGGAGCCCTCTTGCTAGGGGCGTCTGCGAGGCCTCGTGGACAGTCTTGAGGCTATCTTGGTCGCCTTCGAGGACACCTGTGCGTGTTGGAACCCTGCTTGAGCAATCGTAGATCGATTCGTGGGCATCTTGGAGACAACAGAGTGTAGAAATGGAGGCTTCAGAGGCCCTGGGGGAGCGTTGGTGAGCTCGGGGACCCCCCCCCGGCCCTCCCGCCACTCTCGAATACTTCAGACCCCATGGGAGGGGGCAATGGGGGTGAGGGGGACAGCCCAGGCCTCCCAGATGGGGTCGGAGCAGGTGGAGCCGGAGAGTTGCGCCGCATCCACCCGCGATGCGGCGCGATCCTCCGACCCCACCTACTCAGACCCCATTAGGGAGGCCTCTAGACAGCCAGTCATCTCACACGCCTTTGCACCCCAGGAAAGCTGGGCTCGGCGGATTCTAAAGTTGCGAGTTGCCGAAATCAGCCGGCTCTGTCACCTTCGACCGCGTGCTGTTGCCTGCGCCACTTTCTTCCTCAGCTTCTCCCCCGAGGCGCTGTTGCCTGCTACATGTCGCACCGCTTCCTGTTGGAGCACATCAGCAGACTGCCGGGTGACCAGGACGGACTTGCGCCCTTTTTGGCTTGCTCAGCCCCCAACCAATTGCGATCTGGTTTTCCTGAGCACAGCACAACTCGCCCCCATCCCCAGCCAGGACCCCCACTCCCGACCTGGTGATGCAGGGAGCCTGGCTGGGGGTGGGAATGGAGCTCCTGGGGGCCAAAGAGCCACCCCCACCCCGGTCAGTACCCCCTGGATCACCAGGTGGGGGAGTGGGGGTCCTGGCTGGGGGTGGAGGTGGGTTGTGCTGTGTTCATTTCCAGCAGCCGTCCGCCATTCGACTCGATGGACATGCTCGGATCCTGCAGGCTCACGCCAGCGTGCCGACCCTAGAGCACGGGATCCGTGACGATGTTCTTGGCTGCTCGCGTGCCTCCATCCAGAGCAAAGTGGAGGCGGGTGGTGAAGAGGAGATGGGGAGGAGCTGGAGGAAGAAGAGGAATATTAATAACAATAATAAGGATAATAATCATACTATTGATAATGCTAATAATAGCAATAAGAATAAACATAATGATACTAGTACTAATAGTAAGAAGAATAAGAACAACAATACTAATAATAATAATAATAAGAAGAAGAGGGGGACAGGATGCGGAGGGACACCAATATCAGAAGTGAGGGACGTGCTCTCTCTGGCATTGGTGTCGTCAACGAAGTCGAGATGGGCACGCACATCTCCACATTTGGCTGCACCGTGTGCTTTGTAAATCTTTGGTTGAGTTCTAGCCCCGGCGCGAGCGTATGTCAGGGCATTTGGGGAACGCTGGGACCCGGGCACTCTTGTGGTCATGTTGGTGCCATTCTTAGTGCCCTCCTGGGGGCCCCACGAGGATGTTCAGCAGTCTCTTGGAAGCACGTCGGGGCCTTTCGGGGTACGTACGCTTCGGAGACCCCTTAGGGCAGTTCAGACCCTGTAGGGTTCTTCGTCGGCCTGTGTTGGGCTTCCTTTGGGCCATCTTGGGGTACCCCTCGAGGAAGTGTTTAGACTCCTGAGGCTAAGCTGAAAGAGCAGCCGCGATACCGCAAAAGTCACTGAAGATACCCTACTCCTTCAGTGAGTTTGGAATTTCGGGGGCTTCTTTGGAGGCTACCTGGCCGTCGTTGAGTCCTTTTGGCACCGATTGGCGCTACGGTGGTGTGCCGTCTTAGGCAATGTTTGAACCAGTCTTGAGCTGCACTGGAGTCGTCCTGGGCGGCTTGGGGATCTCCCGTACACGGTGGGTCAGTTGTGGGGCCTCTTGGAGCCTCAGAGATGCGTTGATGAGCTTGTCGCCCCTTCCCACACCAAGCCCGACTTGGTGCCTCTGGGGAGGGAGAGTCTCTGGAGGCCTTTTGAGGTGTCCTCGAGGTTCAGCGGCGTGGCAGAGCTCTTCTGCGGCGTGTGGCGCATCTTGGGGGCGCCGGGGGATGGAGCTGGAGGCCCCGATGGCTCGGAAGGTGCGTTGAGGAGCTAGTCCCCTCCCCCACTCTGCCGCCGCCGCCTTCTTCCACCTCTGATCACAACAGGGGCACCCCCCTGGACGGGATTTGGGTCCCTGGGGGTGGGGGACCAGAGAGGGGGGTAGGGGGGGGGTGAGACAGTCAAACTTTTCATGTGCCTTGTGACCGGCTGATTCGAGCGTATCGAATGACTGATTGCGGCCAGATTTTGATCGCACTCGGCAGTTGGGTCTCCGCCCGATCGTCGACCTCGCGGGCGATTACCTCGGCCAGTCTGGGCTGACCGAAGACGACGCGTTCAGTAGACTCGATCGCTTTTGGGCAGGACTGTACTACGTACTCTCATGTCGCCCGAGTCGGTACAGGTACACGGCATATGGCTTCCCGGTTCCAGGTGCCCTGGTGAGCTCGAGGCGGTCCGACGTGATGCGTGCCGCTGGTCTTCCATCTCGCACCGTTGAGGTGCCCGTGCCTTCAGCTCGGTCAGGTCTTGATGCGCTGCCGGGCTCTCGCTCGCCCGGCTCTGCTCCCGGGTGCGGGTGCCTTCTGCTCAGGGGCGCGCCTCTGCAGGCAGCCTTGTCGGATCCCCACCGGCTTTACCCGCCGAGCCCCGCGGAGTGGCAAGGCATATAGCCGACCATGCCCTCCGCGCCACGGGCGGCCGTCGAGCCCCGGGAGGACCAGCACGACGACCGGTCCTGGGACGTCACGCACGGCCCGCGGAAGGAAACGGCGCTGGAGCGATTCTCCATGGTCTTGCCCGCGGTCACCCGCGTGGCCACCAACGTCGTCGGCGGTGCGCTGGTCGGAGGCGGCTATGCGATGGGCAAGGTCGGGGAGCGGTTCACCGGATGCAAGGCCTGCGGGCGAGACGTGTGTCCATGTCCCTTGCGTGTTGGGCTTTCTGGGAAGTGGCGCCAACATGCCGAGGTGCAGTGGGTAATGGATGACAATTGAGCCTCCAGGGGCCAGACTTGTGTCTACATCCACTGCGCCTCTGGTTTCTGGGAAAGGGAACCCGAAACTCCAAGGCGCAGTGGATATGGATACAAGTCTTGCCCGCAAGGCCGTGGACTCGGCCTCGTTCCGCAGCGGGGTGCAGAGCTGGATGTGGTCCAACGGCATCGTGCCGAGCGTTGTGTACGAGCCCCTCGGTGAGGCCGGCGCGAGGGCGGCCAGCTGGTACGGCACCGAGGCCGCAGGCGCGGAGGACGTGCGCCAGGCGCCCCTGCTTGTCTCCAACCACACGTCCTACCTGGACGGCCTTGTCCTCGCCGCGTGCCTGGGCTTCCCACGCGTGGTGGCCATGGCCGGCACCCGGAAGGTCCCGATCGTCGGCAGGCTGATGGAGGACAGTACGGGACCAGCATTACACCACCACCACCTCCCGAACCCCATCTCTCCCCCAGGAAAGAGGAGGGGAGGAGGAGGATAGAGGAGGGAGGGGGACTGGAGGTGGGGGTGGTGGTGTATATCCGTAGGGGCTTCGCCACCTGCCGCCGGCCCCCTCTCTCTGAGAATGCGCTATGCAAGAGCTTTGTCATGAGGCCTGGGCGCTGTCGTGAAGCAGTATCGGAACTTCATGCGAGGCCGACTCGTAATGAGCAAAACCAATTGATCACCAGAGGGGTTACCACACTTGGCGATTGGTAAGACGTCGTGGCCCTGCGGAGCTGCGTGAGGGTGCCACCGAATTTCAGAAATGTGGTAAATCCCATGTGTTTTTGGACCCTGACCCCGCCGATCTGCGTGAGGGGTGCCAGCGAATTTCAGAAATGTGGCACATCCCATGGGTTTTTGGACCCTGACCCCGCCGATTTGCATGAGGAGTGCCAGCAAATTTCAGAAGTGTGGCACATCCCATGTGTTTTTGGACCCTGACCCTGCCGATTTGCATGAGGAGTGCCAGCAAATTTCAGAAGTGTGGCAAATCCCATGTGTTTTTGGATCCTGACCCCGCCGATCTGCGTGAGGGGTGCCACCGAATTTCAGAAATGTGGCAAATTCCATATGTTTTTGGACCCTGACCCCGCCGATTTGCATGAGGAGTGCCAGCAAATTTCAGAAGTGTGGCAAATCCCATGTGTTTTTGGACCCTGACCCCGCCGATTTGCATGAGGGGTGCCACCGAATTCCAGAAATGTGGCAAATCCCATGTGTTTTTGGACCCTGACCCCGCCGATTTGCATGAGGAGTGCCAGCAAATTTCAGAAGTGTGGCAGATCCCATGTGTTTTTGGACCCTGACCCCGCCGATCTGTGTGAGGGGTGCCACCGAATTCCAGAAATGTGGCAAATCCCATATGTTTTTGGACCCTGACCCCGCCGATCTGCATGAGGGGTGCCACCGAATTCCAGAAATGTGGCAAATCCCATGTGTTTTTGGACCCTGACCCCGCCGATCTGCGTGAGGGGTGTCAATTTTTGCCCACCCCAGCAATTCAGAGCACACGCTCAGGGCGTGCTAAACCTGCCCGTTTGGGCCTCCCCCCCCTCGCGCGGTCCATCAACAAGGAACTGTAAGCAGCAAGAAGCAGAACTGTAACAGTGGAAACTGGAAGCTGCAACTGGTACAGGGAACTGCGTGCGAACCTTAGGCCTGCAGCCTGGTGGCCCCACAAGGGGGCCGGCGGACTCCTGGGGCCCGCAGATAGATCGCTCCAGCTCGTTCCGGAGCGCCCTGGAACGGCCGCGGCGCCCGATGCATCCTCCAGAACCGCCGGACCTTGGCGGCCCCCGATGTATACCCCAGTCCGATCCTGCCCCCGCCCCGGCCTCGCCCCAGGACATGGACTGCGTCTTCGTGGACCGGTCCAGCAGCGACTCGCGCCAGGCCACGCTCGAGGCCATCGGGCAGCACTGCGCCTCGTGGGCTCCGGGCGGGCGCCCGATGCTGATCTTCCCGGAGGGCACCACCAGCAACGGGCAGGGCATCCTGCCCTTCCGCCGCGGCGCCTTCGCGGCGGGCGCGCCGGTGAGGCCCGTGCTCTTGGTCTACACGGGGCAGTGGGATCCCGCGAGCACGACCTGGAGGGCCACCGAGAACGGCCTGAAGGACCCAGGCCCCGCCAAAGAGGGGCCTACAGTGGGAGCTCATGCCAAGAAGCACCCTGCTTGCCTCCAGGGAGCCCTGGGTGTCTTGGCTTCCGATGGTTTTGCGGTGGAACGCGTGACGTTCCCATGCCAAAAATCCATGGGCGTCCTGGGATCTCAGGGTTAGGGTTTCTTGTGGCAGGTTTCTTGTGGACGAGCCCCTACTGTAACAGGTGGGATCGGAGGATGTCGCCGCGTCAGTGCTGCGGCGCGATGTGAAGCCCGATTCTCTCCGCACCGACGCGTCGCCGGTCCGTCGCGAGTGCGTCGCCGATGCGTCGCCGATGCATCGCCTATGCGTCGTCGATGCGTCGGTGATGCACCGGCGATGCGATGTTTTTTCCGGGACGATCGGAATGGGTACGGAAATAATGGTACGATGCTCAACAGCAGTTCTTAGTTGTTTTGAACAGGACTCGTTGTCCGCGTCTCCGCGGACGTTGTACACTGAAGACTAAAATCCGCCTGCCCAACAGCAGCCGCTGTCGCTTTTGAACAACACTTGTTGTTGGGCATTCTCTTTTTTTCGTACCCATTTCGGGCTTCCACATGTCTTTGGGGGATAACATCTCGTCCGACCCCAATGTGGGAGGCCTCCAGAGGAGCTCTCGGACGCGGAGTGGGCCGCGCAGTTTGCGGGCACCTGGGTGCACTCGGTGCACGTCCGCGTGCTCGCGCCCTACGTGCCGAGCCTCGAGGAGCAGCGCGACCCGGCGCTGTACGCCCAGAATTGCCACGCGCACATGGCCACCGCCCTGGCCCGCGTTCGCCTCGAGGTGCAGGTCGGAGGGTGCCAAAGGGGATCTTGGCCCAAGGTGCCTCCAGCTTCTCGCGCCACTTTGGATCAAACAAGAAGAAGCCGCGCAAACAGCTCGCGGAGCTCCTCGCGGATTGCTTGGGTCTGCGCTGGGACCCCCTGGCGGCGAATCCGGCGCCGCCTCGCGCCAGGGAGGGGGGTTCAGCGTTGTGGAAGTTGATCAATGGAGAGGAAGCGTGCTGCCACATCATTTCTAGATGTCTAAAAGATGCTCCAAATCTGTTCTAGACATGTTTAGGCATGTTTAATCAATTTGAGGACATGCCTTAAGCATTTCAAGCACATCTTTAGAATTCAATGATATAAGATTGTTCGGGTGTCCATTGTCATGGCGCCCACAAGTGCAGCGCAGGTTCGAGGAACCCGCGCGGAGCTGCCCCAGAAGCTCATGCGCATGCCGTGTCCTCCTCTTCGACTGGAGCCCTCTGCCCGCGGACGACTTCTGCGCACCGATAACCGCCGTGGCCTCACCCGAGGCATATAGTCGATGCCCGCGCCGCGAGCGGTGTGGTGCACGGCGTGCCGGCCTCCGGAGCCGACAGACTGTGCACCGTGCCGCGCTGGAGCGGGACCTGAAGGGATCTACGGTAGGCTTGCGTCGTGTCGACCAGCGGCGACCCCAGCGCGGGCGTTCAAGGTTGAACGCCGCCGGCGACCCAGAATCGATCGATGTTGAACGATCGGACGTTGCGGCAGCGGCCGATCGTTCAAGGTTGAACGATCCCTGCGGTGTCAAAAACCAACGCTGGGGTCGGCACGACACGAACCTGCCGTAGGCTTCAGTCGGGCACGTCCCTCCGCAGGAGGAATAGACTCAAAAATAGTCAAACACCCAGTCAGTGGGACGTTTTTTTTTGTATTCTCTGCTATTTCTGAGCATTTTTTCGAGTTTTCGTCGAAAGCCCGCCTGTCGGGGGATGCATGCCCGACTTGAATCTGGGCATGGCAGGGTGCACAGGTGCCGTTCTCGTGCTCCGGGGCTGGCTGGAGAAGCTGGGGCCACCTTGGTCCCGGGGGCACCTCCTGGCGGCACCCCGGCAGGAGGGCTCGTGGAAGGCTGCCGCCGGGCGCGCGGACGGCGGCCTGGGCTACAAGTTCGGGGACGTCGCGCGCACGCTCGCGAGGGCGACGAAGCAGGGGTGCTGCCAGCCCGGCAAGAGGCAGCGGAGGGCGGAGCACGAGGTGCAGGTGCAGGGCTGACTGCCGGGGGAGGCGCCAAGACATTCTGGCCGTGAGCGGTGGCAGCATTTTCTTGGCGGTGCAACGGCGCTCGGGTGGAAGCTTTTACCTGATAGGCTGACACCATTC